CGGTATGCCACAGTAATAGGTTAGATTTGAATTAATAAATGTTATGGATGCAATGCACTTAGTTACTTACTTACTTATACTTCAGTGTCCTTTAAGCAGTGCTGAGTAGAAAACCTATTTGTTAGCAGCATTTGCCAAACAGGAGGGAAAGCCCTGTGGAATTCGGATTAAGTTCTCCTAAACTGCAGGATTGTGTAGCATTGATCTTAAGGCAAATTGCAACACCATGGTCTGAAGCTAATTGCTTAGAGAATCAGTCCCATGTAACTTGGTAACAGCTTACAGCTTTCCAGTCGTCGGTTAGGCAGAATTTAGAAAGGAGGTCACTGCCACACAGCATGCGGCAGTAACCCAGTCAGAAAGAAGTTTAGAAACATGCAGTTGTGAATGCAAACTCAGCGTTCCTGTCCCATCCCCCAGCCCATCGTAATTTATGTTCCACCCCATTCGATGACTCTGATAGCTTCACTGTAATGTGTCATTAGTGATAACATGCTCTTGGATGCTAGTGCTGTGTTAGCAGCCAGAGGACCTGAAGAACTGGCCTTCAGTCTTTTGCAAGTTAGGCTGTCAGCACTGGAGGTATATGGAATTAGGAAGATATGGTTGATCTGGAAAGTTCAGTCCACGTGGTTGGTAGTGGTCATTGTGCTATGGAAGGTATATAGAAATTGCCATGCCATTTGCCTTCCTGTCTAGCAGCTGACCTCTCCCAGTGCCTATTATCCTGTGCAGAGAGTTGCAGAAGATCTGTGACAAGTATGGAATAACCAGGCTATTGGGAGATGTAGCATTAGAAATGCAGCGTTGGACATATGGCCTGAAATACAAGGGCTAATCTTTATAGACACTCACCAAGCCTGGTATCAAGTATCCTGCAAGTCCAGTCTTTAGACAGAAGTGCCCCAACAGGGTGTTCAAATTAAGAGTCTCAACTTGTTGCTTAATTATGTTGGTTTTGTGTGCATCTAACTATGGATCTTGAGGCCTTCATGACATTCCGGTTTACAAAATGAACCCCCCTCCTGGCTGAAAATGATACATCAAAGGCAAAGCCTGTCTAGCCTTCTGTGAAGGATCTTTGTTTCCTCATCCCTCTTGTTTCACAGGCAGATATTTCAAGCAGAAGTGCTTCTAACCAGATGTGCGGATCTGGATAATCTCAGAGTAGTAGTAGGCTCCGTAGCCAAAGATAGGTGCATCTGCTGTGGTTGGATTTCCAGATCACAACAAAGGGTTGGGAGGGTGTTTAGGACAGGGCGTCAACTTCAGAGTGCTTATCCAAGCCATACCCATGGGCTTGAGGCTTGCCCATCTGCCATCATTCCTGTTTCTCAGAGTTTGCCCTTCCTGAAGAAACACCAAGGGCCCTACGTGGGTTGGTAGCTATGTGTAGCTCTCACATAAGCAGGTCCCACTCTGGCACAGCTGCACCAGGGAACCAAGGAGTATGTGCAGAGGCAAACTCTGTATGCAAAGCACCCTGCGGCACTCTGAAATCAGAGTGACGGAGGGGTTAAAACCAAACAAGCGACTTCCTGATTCAGCGAGAATGCCTGCTGCTCCAACGGTGTACAGGAAGGCAGTGATTATTCCTATTATCATCATTAGTGTCTGCTCTGCAAATAGTGCCTTGCAACTGCTTTCTCTCAGAAATTACCCCTCACGCAATTTTTGCCTGTAACGACAATGGTTGTTTCCAAGAAATGTCAGGGCAAATCAAACTGTTTAAACCTGTGCTTATGGAAACCCTTTTTTTAGATCAGCAGCTTTATTTTTCCAGTTGGCCTGGCAGCATGCCAGTAGCATGCACAACACCTCTTTCCCTTGGGCATGATCAAATTTATAGCAAAAAACCCCAGCAACATGCCACTCTTCTCATCATAATGTGCTCTGCGGCTCTCATATGAGGTGATGCCAGGCCTCCCCTGTGGTGTGAATGGCCTGAATGATCAGCTGGAATGAGTGAGGCAATGCCAAGCATTTATGGGTTTGATAGACAAGAAGTCATTACTTTAGCTGAGGATTTAATGGGAGCTTTTTTGTGTGGTTTTCCATTCAGTCTTCATTGTGGGCTGCTGTTATTAGAGAAGCCGAGCTGAAGCTTGACAGGGAAAGGATTGTCCTAAGACAACCTGTGGCTTGGAGAACCAGAGGTCAAGCCCCTGACCCACCACAGACTCGTCGTATGACCTTGTGTGAGTGGTTTAGTCTGGGAAGCAATTCAGTTGCTCCTTTGTCAAATGAAGATAAGACCTCTTCCCTCCCTCGTGGCAGTGTACAGAGGAGAACTGCATTAAAGATTATACAGTTGTGTGAGCCTGGTAAGGACCTGAGTTGCCTCATCTCTCAATGCAGTATCAAGGGTGAGAGACCAGTTGCACACCCAGTGCTTGAAATGGCTAGAATGGAGAAGTTGGTTGCTCTGATGTACTGAGCTCCCACTGAAGTTGTAAGAGCTGCAGAGCAAAGCTGGTGTGCTGGCTAAATTCAAAGACTTGAAATCCTCCACTGAGGCATGTTCGTTCTAGGAGCCACAGCCCTATCTGACGATTCTTGTTGCTTTGAGTAATATTGGTGTGTTAAGTTCCAGTTTCCCTGCTGGCATCTACAGCCAGGAGACCAAAATCATCCAATCATGCAAAAACTACCTGGATCATCCAAAACTACCTGGCTTCTAGAGACAGACCTGATAAAAAGTGACAGGGTGCAACAAAGGAAGCGTCTGCTTCTACCACTGGTGCTGTGTAATCAGTCAGTGGAGAACATCACTCCTCAGTGCTCCCGATTCAAAGGTGTGCACTCACCTAGGGATCTGACAGCTCTGTTCAAGTAGTGACCATACATATTTGCCAACACTCCTGTCAGCCCCCACTGTACAGATGGGCAAACTAAGGCAGAAAACAGAGAAATGCCTTTGCCCAGGTTATGCTGTGAGATCATGTCAGCACTTGGGAGTTTCTCTTTCCCATGTACATTCATAGATGGGTGATAGCCCAGTAAGTCACCCCTCATTCTTCAGATCCTATGACAATACACCTCAGGTACAGGAGAGACTTGCTTTCCTGTACGTTGTGCTAGGCGACTGGCTAGATGCACTAATGCTGGCCTTTTACCTTTCCAAAACAACATCTGTTTTGACCTTTGCTGAAGGCAGGAGCTCAGACCCTGAGCACATGGGATGAATTTATTCAATCAAGTGGACAATAGCAGTACATCTGCCCAAATAATGCTTCATAGGTTTTTGTTGCCCTGATGGTTTTGTTCAGATGGATAAATTGTGCCAAAAAACTAAAAAGCCAGTGCACCTCATTATTGACAGCAGAACAAGCTGCAGGTCACTGGAACCAGCTTAGAGTCTTATATTCAGAGTGCCACAGATACCTTGGCCATGTTACGTTTTCTCCCTTGGATCTATGCAAACACGGCTGACCTCTGTAAATAACTCCCTCCCTTGCCCTGGAGTTACTGCAGTTCTCGGCTTTAGAGCACATGCACATCATATAAGCCAAGCAGTAGGTGAGGAGAATTTGCTCTTGGACCAATTGAAGGAGAAACTGGAAATGGTCAAAAAAAGATGTTTATCACACTTCAAGTGAAATTCTTGCCTGTGGGTGCATCGTCAGGCACAGACATAATTTTTTCTCCCGAAAGACCCCGAAGTGCTCTTTGGGCATTTATACACATGGTTTGG